TCCTTCCTTCCTTCCTTCCTTCTTTCCTTCCTTCCTTCCTTCCTTCCTTCCTTCCTTCCTTCCTTCTTTTTTCAGAACCGGGGATTGAACTCCGTCAGGCCCTTGCGCTGAGCCATCAGGTTTTTCCTTTACTTCCATGTACACTTGTTTCCCACATATTGTCAATTCACCTTGCAGGAAAAAAAACAAAAACAAAAACAAGGGCCAGGGAGATGGCTCAATAGAATAAGCGCTTGTCTGGCAAGCGCCAAGGGCCTGCGTTCAATGCCTGGTCACCATCACCAGCCTTGATTTCACTGTGTAGCCTAGGCTGGCTTCAAACTCTCAGCAACCCTCCTGTGCCTCAGACTCCCAAGTGCCAGGATTATAAATTATTTACTTTGGCTAGGCATGGTGGCTCATGCCTGTCATTTTAGCACTTGGGAGGCTGAGGCAGGAGGATCACCATGAGTTTGAGGCCAGCCTGAGCTATGAAGTGAATTCAAAGCCAGCCTGAATCCCATAGTGAGTCTCTGTCTCAAAAAGCCAAAATAGCACAGGGTCCTGAGTTCAAATCCCCATACTGAGGAAAGGGAAAAAAAGCCAAAAATAACAGATGCAGGGATTGGGTTTGATCCTGGAGCATGCTGTGCTGGCCCCACCCCCAGGGCATGCTGAGACAGTGATTGAGACTGGCTGTGGTGGCACGCGCCTGTAATCCCAGCACTTGGAGCTGTAAACAGAAGGATCACTACAACTCCGATCTAGTGGTGAGACCCTGAACACCTGGTAGACCCTGTACTAAATACTATATATATATATAACATATATATAATATAATATATTATACATATATATAATATTTTTTCCACCACAAAATGAGTTCCTTTAGCAAATCAAGTTTTTCACTCTGTTAATATGATTGCTCCCCTGCCCCCATTTTGTTCTTTGAGCCAGGGTCTCACTGTATAGTTCAGGCTGGCTTTGAACTCACTATGTAGCCCAGGCCAGTCTCAAACACTCAGTGGGATACCTCCTGCTTCAACCTCCACAGTGCTGGGATTACGGGCCTGTGTCACGCCTGGCATGGTTGCCTTCTCTTACAGTGACAGATTAGCAGCAGGAGGTGAAGGAAATGGCTGTGTTTTTTTCACTTGTGCTTGCTTTACAATTTTATCTTCAGCCTGTGGTTTATTCATGAGAATTATCTGATAATCCTTAACCCTATGCAGATAAAGTGCAGTAAAGGAAACCTCTACTGATTGGGGTAAAATTACTCTCACTTCTCCCACCACATCATGTGGTGTGCCAGGCTGATTCTGGCTGAGACTGTGACTATCAATCATTGTGAGCTATCAGGAATGACCACAAGTTGGTTTTGTTGTCACAGCCACTCCTGCTCCTGCTGCTGCTGCTGCTGCTCCTCCTGCTGCTCCTCCTGCTCCTCCTCCTGCTCCTCCTCCTCCTGCTCCTCCTCCTGCTCCTGCTCCTCCTCCTGCTCCT